AAACCCATTCTGAGAAAAATAGAAAAAAATTATAGAGAGGAAATTTTTGACTTGTTGATAATTTCTCCTATTCAATCTGACATACGTATGTAGTAACAGATTGTTTACATTATATTGATATGCATATAAAATTATTTCATGGAAAATAACATATCCATTTGGGTTTCTTTTTCTATATAAATCAATAAACAGTGAAAATATTTCTGATGACCTGTAAGTTTATTGAGTTTACATGTAATTACAACGAAACAACATAAGCATAACTAAGTAAACATCAGTGTTCGATTTATTTAAACAAAAAAGTGAATAATTAAACAAGAGAATTCATTAAACTATTTAAATAATCAATTGCAGTTATTGGTATTTTTGAACTATCACTTTCAGTCGTAAGACAACGATAAAGAATTTTTTGATATGGAGTATTTTTTTTAACTGTTAGGAAAACATTTCAGGTCAACGTTTAAAATAATTAACATATTTATATCTATAGAAAGAAAAATTTGTTATACTGAATGAGGAGAGTCTTTTCTTGATGAATAAGTTATGACATTAATTAAAAGTGATCCTTTATTTAGGGGAATGAATAGTATTATACTAAGATTATAGTAATTTATTGCTTAAAATCATTGAAACATCGATATACTATTGAAAAATATCATAGATTGATAAAGTCTATTTAATGGTGAAATGGCAATTTAAAATAATATTCTTATGATATTTGTTTGTGTATAATAAAATAAAAAATTATGTCAGTTATATACTATAAATTTATTATTATTATTTTGTTAACAATGAAATGATATATGTAAATTAATAAATCATCTAATCACTTACGTAACTGTATGTATGTCAGTTCATTAACTTTATGTATGGTTTGTTTCGCCACAATATATATATATATATATATATATATATATATATATATATATATATATATATATATATATATATATATATATATATATATATATATATATAACTGGGTACAATAGACGTTAGGACTCTGTCTTGAGTTCAATTAGTATGATAGTTAATTCAACCCTATTACTAAATCTTCTATTGATTTCACACTCATTCAAGTCCCAACCTCTTAATTTTCCTTCAGTCGTAGGTATTCCACTTTTTTAGAGTCTATATATTATTTATCATCTGTCCATGGATAAGAATAAAATGTACACTCATTAAAAACTATGATTGAATACATACAATTTAAATTGCATAATAACAAAATAACATTTAAAGTTATCTGTTGTTTCATACATTAATAAAATCCAAACCATATTTAAAAACCGTTTGTTTACCTAGATAACTTACTACTTGCTAGATGACTGACCAGTTTTACAGAAAATTTCACTCATAAGATCCAAACTAATATAATTATTCATTTGCGTGATTCAGGTTGGCCGTGCCAATCTTAAGACAGTTTATGTCAGAGACTGACATCAACTAGCGAACCACATTAAACCAAAGAGTGGTGAACTGCTTAACTTCAATAAACTCAGCAGCGTGACAAATACCAAGTGATAATACTTGATTAAAGGTATATTGTAAAATGACTTGAAAATGTGGGCTAAAGGTGTTATGTCCTGTACAAGATCTAATGGTCGTGCGTTTAACTCTATGTGAGATCGTGTATTACCACCGTTGAGGAGTCCTATATAGGAACGGGACAAGCATTGATTGTTTTCCGCTTAGTAATTATTACCCATTGGGTGTCAATCTGTAACTAGAACTATCTTCGAATTAATGTTTCCTTTATGCAAAAGACCAAGATTTCACTAATACAAAATGCAATATTATCACTACGATTACTGTTTATTACTCCACATGTTATGCAAAACAATATTTTTTCAACTCGGAAGTGTAAAGGTAAATTTTATAAATAAAATAAAGAATTACATTTAAAGTTGTTACTCAGCTTACCTGTCATTCTATGACACTTGGATCTCTGAGTTTAATTATACTGTATTTCTAATGCTTTAAATTACTAGATGTAATGGATGGAAAGCTGTTTGCACTTAATGCTTAGTTACATATGCTTTACTTGTTATTCTTTCTGACCTTGACCAACACTACATAGAGTTATGCACGTCGCTTGCATTCACAAAACATATAGGATAGGCAGTACAATATCAAATGCCATGATTTAATACTTACTTACACTCACGATTGGAAAGTGGCTACAGTTTTCTATCCAGTGGTCAACTAGCATAGAAGTCAGTGTGTCTAAACAAAACTAAAATGTATGAATAATGTTTAAAGAGGTGGAAAATAAATTCAGTTTTCCGGAAATGTATTAGTCCACACAATATATCGACCTTGTTCAACTTAATGTGATCAATAACTGCTGATGAAGAATTTAAATGGTTCAGTTAATCAATTGGATAATTATTTGACAGTAATTATCTGTGACCTTAGTGAAAATCAGAAAAAACACTAATAAAGTTGTCGAAACTTTTGATATTTAGACATTTAGACGATAAAAATTATGATAGTTATAATCATTTAACTGTATTAATAATAGATATTTATTTTAAAGGATCATGAAAAACAAAATCCTCTGTGAAACTAAATATCTTTTGAACTAGCGAATTACTTTACAAATCAGTAGTTCTAGCTATAACTGTGTTTTAATGCTCTAAATGTTGTGTCATGTTGAATGTTCTCTTACTTCATAAATATATATATTCCATCACCTTGTAATTTAGTTCAGCCTGACAAATTACTTAACATGAAAGAAAATGGGAAAATCTAACAATAAATTCATTCCACATCTTAGCTATTCGGATGTAAATGAAAACTTTTAAGCAAAAGTGTACATAAGAAGCCAAACTTCCGAACCACTTACCAAAATTCACTAAAATAACAGACCATTAAGGTCACGCGCAAGTATAAAGCCCTTTGAGTACAGTTTACGTAACTAGAGCCATAGGGCAAGTTAAATTGATAAGAACACCAAGACGAGACCATCATCGATATTTTTCCTTGGTTTACTGAAACAGCATTGCCTTTGCTGAAAATGTAACGCGCAAAATGGTGGTATTGAAAGTCATTTTGCTGGATTTATTGGTTAGGTGGATGGGAATTTTACCCACTGTGCCACCTTGAAAATAAAGTTTAAGGTACCGAGTTTCTTTTTTGATTGCTAGTCAGTTATGATCAACTTTGAGCTTGGCAAATATATGGGATGGCTCAAGTTTCCATGCTACATTAGCTTAACGAGATAAAGTTGAGAGTAGTACGAAAAGTAACAAAATAACATGACAGGGTTGATAACGAGAAAGAATGAAGATTTAAAATATGTTTCAGAGAGTTATTGAAGAGGTATATATGAAGAAACACTGGAATTCAAAACCCAGATGAAGATGCCAGATTTGAGTCTGATCACCTCTAAATTTTTTTCCAGTTTACTCCTACACCGATTAACATCCCTCATCAAGTTAGGTGATGGTTAAGACATGATATATATATATATATATATATATATATATATATATATATATATATATATATATAACGTTTACTATTCGATTGTCTCAAATCTGGTAAAAAAACGAATTTCATATTCTGTGATTGTTGTACAGCCACTACATTTAATGTATGAATCCATCCATTCATCCATCATTAAACTGAAGGGAGAGTTCAAATACATGACTAAAATATAAAATATCTACCTGCATATAACTTTGAAATGTTATTATCAAGTGATAGAAAAAAATCGATATAAAGTTACGTACAAATCAAATAATGTTTGTTCAAGTATTATTTATTTACTGAACTTTCTGAATTTACCATCTCATTATACATTCAGAAAATCTAAATTGGTAAAATTCTGTTGAATTTCAATAGTTTTACCACCAAAAAAAATTGAATTTCTATAAAAATGAAGCAACTAATCTAGATAGACTAGAAAAACTTATAAAAAAACATCTTTTTTCATTAAACAGACGAACAGATATGTATTAACGATTACTAAGGAACTGCACTTTCATGTGAGGAAAAAGTTTTAATATAGGGGTATTTATGACGATTGTAGGATTTCCATAGCTCAACTCATGAACTGATCTTAGCTAGATTATTAATAAACGTCTGGAAGCACAGGATGACCATCTCGTCCTAGCATGAAACTCATCAGTGATGAGCATACACAACCCTGCAACCGGGACTATAACCCAGGATCTTTGATCTCGCGTGTAAATGCTAAACCTGTATGTCACTGAAACGGCATCCAATGTCAAACTTTAAAGCAGTTTTTATCATTAAAATTAGTGAGTACGTTCATTATAGAACATCAACTTTGATTAAAGAAAATGAGACTATAGAAAATTACATGGACCAATAGTCTGCTAAACATTTACTCCTTGTACTATTCTAAATAGATTTTAAATCAAAAAATTATGTGTAACTGTAACGTCCTTTCTACTTAAAGATTACAGAGCAAAGAGTTTACCTTCGTAGTTCCAAACGTTTCACCATACAAACCAGGTAATATAAACGGTTATCTACTGGGGGTTAAAAAGTATTTTAACTATCATTCATATGTTTTTTAGTATCTATATTAGCAGTGCTAGTAGTAGTACATGGGTAGAAGAATATGACTAGTCATACTTGGAACGAATGGTAGCATTACATATTGTAAAGAGCATTTTATGGTGTACGCCACTGCGGAAATTCACCTACGATCATCGACCGAATTTGAAATTCTTGATAAGTGGTACAAATTGTAGAGCTTAATTTTCTTTATATTAGTGTGGGGTGCTTCATCTATCGGCCGATTCAATGTATGTAAACTGATAAATATGTGAATTTAAGTAGATGCAAAGTAGTTTGATTATCGCTTGTTAGTTAGGCGCTTCCTATATACGTTTTACTATCATCATGTTGAATTAAGTGACATTTCTAAGTCGTCTACAAATTTCTTATTTACAGCAGATATTTCTTACAACATGTGAACACATTTAATAATGAGTTGACTACATGCAAAAAGACAAAATAACTACTTTCAGTAATTTTGGTCAGACGATTCTTCGACAGATCCAGAGTTTTCAATTGCGTAAGATTTCCAATACAATCTGGAATCGGTCCTTGCAATTGATTACTTTTCACTACTAATGTCTGTAAAAGCTTAATAAGAAAATATATTTTGCGGGTAAAATGATACAGGTTATGATTAATTTTATAATGTGGACAATTACTACAGCCAAAAACATCAAAGATTCGAGTGCTGTTTGATGAAATATTTGTGGAACTTTAGTCTACATGACAAGTATGAATAAAAATGAAAGACATAAAGGTCATAATAATAAAAACTGGATAATAACCATGAAAAATTGTTTAAGGACAATAATAACTTATTATGGTTTAAAATTACAAAATACTTATCCGAAAATCAAAACATAGTGATAATATGAAAGACCTCAAACATACGAATGTATAGCTTAGGTAAATTATTTCGTCGAAAAGAAGATTTTCCTCTTTGAATTCTCTTTATTTTTATTCAATGACACAACGGACTATTTTAACTATCTGAAGAGTTGCAATGGCACCTAAACATTCTCTGAAAGTAACTACATCCTTTAAAAAAGGTAGAAACTATAGTTTTAGCATGCAAAAACATGCTCATAAATTAAAAAAAACTTATAATTCAGTTATACTTGTGAGCGAAAATGGACTTCAATAAGAATCAATGATTTACCAAGGTGTTTTAACTCTAATCGTCAATAATGTCAAGAACAAAAATCTATTGATAGAATTTGAGTAAGCACTATTTAATCACAGATGTCATAATTCAGAGCGGTACATTGGTGATTGAAACAAAGCAGAGGAATGCATGGGATATAACAGTGCCTTTTTCAACCACTTTTCAAGATTGTACTACATGAGACTTGATCAAAGTATAATATGACTCAAATATGCACATAACAAACCAGTAATAGCCGTAACATGATTTTAAATTTTCTTCGTTAGATACTAACAGGAAGAGAGTATTAATAGCCATCACACAGAGAAGCTATGCCCAAGATACATAATACTAACTTTTATTCTAGCTGTCACTTATGTTTGCCATCTTTTGTAATTATTGAATAATAGCACTGTACCATAAAATAATTTAACCAAACTTCCGCTAACCTGGTGATTTTAGGCACATTTTTATTGTTTCGAAACTCTGAAGTACATCTAGTGCAGTAACAGAAACTAAATTCATTATAGTGCCAAACTCATTTAAGAAAGATCATTATGCTATGAAGATATATTTGCAACGTAAAAGTAAAAACATCTCGCAGAATGTCTACAGTAGGTTTTTTCTACAGAAAGATCTTAAAGTATCAACCTATTGTCGCTCTTGAAGTTTATTGACTACATGTTGATTTACTCTCCATTGACATCAGGTCCCTGACAAAGTTCCACATACCCGACTGTTACCAAAGTAGGACAGTATCAAAGTAGAAGATTATTTCTGTGGATAAATAGATTTTCAGTTGGACCCAAATAAATAGCATTAACTGTCTAGCTTAAAAACGGTGCCCGATGAAGTAATGCAGGATGCAGTATTAGAACTAGCATCAATTCCCTCGTATGTCAATGATCTTCCTGGTTTTTCGTCATCGGCAGTTTTGTGACTAAAGACTCTTAATAAATGTATCAAGATACGATGAAAGACATGAAACGAAGGGAGTAGTGCGGAGGTTTTAAAAGGTCTGCAGAAGTCGGAATATTTTTATGGCACCCAGCAACTGATATTGAATGGATCTAGGTGGATTATGTTGCATATTGGTCATTAACACATAATCAAATTGCGAAAAATGTTAAGTCACTTGTTTTCTGTACACATAGTCATTCAGAGGTTAGTATCCATCAAAATTTTAGAACCGTTGTACATGTTTAGTTACCCTCGAATGTATCAGAATTCTATAGTTAATAAGTAGAGATTTCAGCAATTCTTTAAATCATATACGCTGTGAGTTTAACTGGAACTCATGTGTTGCAAACAGGCAGTTAACTTGCCAGAAAAGGGTAGTAAGAAATTGGAAAAGGTATAAAAATCTCAAACAAGTTGAATGCATGGATCTCAGGGCTAGTATATGATGACAGATCCGCTGAACTAAACCTAATTCTTTTATGAGACACAACAATCAGAGGACATCTCAGCCTATTAAACATCAATTTCTTATTAGACATTCCCTCATTTTTTACCTTCTAAAACGGAAGATTAACAGGGGCACTCCAAAATCGTTCAAAAGGCCATGAAGAATAACCCATTAGTTACCTACAGAACTCAACACATGTTTCTAACTCCATCTTCATGAACACTGAATGGATAATTGTTTTAAATAAGAGAACTTACTTCTCCGTAATTACCACAAGTCCCACAGCCTTCTGTACTTCCTAGACTGAAAACGAAACTCAACTGTCTGTCAAAATGTATTACGTTATTATTTGAAACAAACGCTAGGTTTAGAAAGTTTATGTGTAAGACAAAATGAAAATCCAAGAAAAATATCATACAGGATAAGTGAAAATAACAAGACTAGACCTACACATAAATTACCAATAGCAGATATATCTGTTAATTTATTGTAAGTCAGGTAGAGTTGTTTCATTAAAGTGAATTTTGTTATAACAACAGGAATGCAACCTTCAAGCCTGTTGTGCCTGATATCAAGATGAGTTAGTTTTGAACAATAACCAAGCTCATCTGGTAGAAATGTGAGGGAGTTTTCTTGGAGCCATAACTGTGAAAGAAAGTAAACTAAATTACGGCATACTCTCTGGAGATTCTTCAGAAGTCCGATCTGCAAGGGAAGACATGTTAACTTATTATCATACAAAAAAAGCTCTATTAAATGACTGAGACTTCCAATGTCCGGAGAAACGCTGTCAAGCCCCAAAGAGGACAAGTCCAGTACCAATCTACTTTTCGAATCAGAAATCAGCTTACTGCCGTCCTGAAATACTTTTTATAACTTCTCAATCGAAAACTAACGGAATGATTAGATTTCCTTGATTTAGTTAAGCTGATAATTTTTCCATTGTCATCTTGATAAAAGACCCCTCTCTTTGCGGCTAATGAAGCAGGAGATCCAGGTATCCCCGGACTTTGTGATGAGCATATTCCTGAGTTGAGAACAGGATGAGAGCCAGTACCTGTAACATAATATCGCGCTTTCAATAAGAACTACTTCGGATATACGTCTTCAAGGATTTGTATTGCTTACTAAAAAATTCTTTATTGACTGACTTTGCCTTGTCCTGTTCGGTTGAAGTGTATGAACGCTGCCTCTAACCAATAAAAAAAAAGTTGAGAAAATATCTTACCGGCATATTACAATCGGTTTACCGCGTTCATGTCAACCTTGAAAACAAAACCTTTACTAGCACAAATACAAAATCCAGTACTTCCTTAATTGTTCATCAGGTAGATGGATAAAAAGTAGATGAACTTTGTTAATTGACAAAAGACGGTTATTCCTGTCAGATGTTGAGGCAATCATGTTAGTCTTTAGTTATAGAGATAGGCCATGTGACATTTGTTAATCCTTGTGTTTAATAATATTACTGAGACATCTGGATCAGGTTTTGCAAGCTTCAGTAATTTCGCATGTGCTTATGGTCAGCTCAGAGGTTATTGAGCTGTGGGCTGACAGAGAGACCTGTAGATGCACTGTCCAACTCCTGATGATGCCATAAATATGAACTTCCGAGGATTTTCAAAGCAAATGTTAAGTACCCACCTGTTTGTAATGATCGTCCAGTTAAGATTAGTTCTTAATGTAGACTATGAGGGTTCAGAAACCACTGTCAACTCCTATAGTAATAACTATAGTTCTGAGAGTAGGGATTGGGCACACTAGAGCTTCAGGCGTAGTGTCACGGACGCGGAATTCTGAAAACTAACGACAAATGGAGTCTCGGTAAATTTTCGGTCGTGAACTTGATCGTCATAAGAGGATTTTATACCGTGTTAGACTGTTGGTGCACAGACATGACTCTACTGCCTTCATTTAAAATATCTTTTTAGCATAATGTTCGGGGTAATTAAAACCTCGTAGCGAGATTCTGACAAAGAAGAAAATCAGAGGAGCAGCAAGGCGCTTGGGTATGAACGCGAAGCAATGCTTAACATTTTATAATGCAACAGACAGAGGTATGATAAATTATTAGACCAAATTCATACAAACTTTTGTTGCTAGAGTAAAATGTCATCAGAGGCTTTAGAAGAGATAATAATTAATAAACAACAATCAGTTGTGATATTTATCAAGATGGAGTAAGTTCAAATAAAGTGAAGGAAGTCAAGGTTGGAATTAAGAGGGCTGTTTATTGGAATGAAAAGTGCATATAGAGAGTAAAGTGTTAAAAATCTAATAAATATCTATTGTCTGATTATTTTAGTTTGTTTTTTTTCCTTTCTGATCCAAAGCGAACCACATAGTCCTAGTGTAAAAGTTCGAGGCAGTATGCTGTAGATTGTCTTAGTAGAATAGCATAAAATTAGAGACATGAGTCTGAATGGTGAGTGTAGGAGAACAACCACAACATCATAGAATGTTTTACTTGTTCTCAACCATAAAGAGCACGATACAAACAAAATGTTCTGCCCCACAGACATGGGTGGATTGAAGTCATCGCCATCACCATCAATGTTTGCTGGTCAGTAAATCCACCCCCCTCCATTTGTAATGTTAGGTTCATTTAAGCTTATTTTGGATATATATCATACCTCACATAATGCTCTGTGCTTCACATCCTGTTGGAAAACACTATTTCCATAAGCACCATTTTACAAGCTTATCAGGCAGTTACAAATTATTGACTGTGGGTAAGGCATCAATCCAATGCTTTATTTGACTATAGTATAAATTATAGGTTGCCGATCGAGTATAGGCACTAAGAAGGGCATATTGTAGGATAGTTGTTTATCAAAGTAGGCGAGATATAGAAATATATAGGTTATGGATAAAGTAACGAGTGGAGAAAAAATATTAATGACATGTCAAAATGGTGTACTGAAGAGTTAAAAGCTGATAAAAAATAAACAAGAAGGAATTCACATTAACTCAGTGTTGATGTTATTTTGTTCTATCCTAACCGGTTGGTGGGTAAAACATTCCATAGGTGCAAGATCACTGGTACTAGGCAGTCGATTGTGTGGTTCTTTTGAAATTTAAGGGTAGTAGTGAGTGTCTCTTAGCGACCGATTTTAGTTGAGCAGTATCGATAGGTCCAGTGAGTTACCTTGTAGTGGCATTGGACAATAGCCACACAATCCACAAAGCTGTGAACACGAGACTACTCAGAAAATAGATATTCAATATTTAACGCGGAGAAATACCTAACAATGGAGAAGGCGCGAACAATGAATTGAATGGACTGGAGTTGATCGAGTGGCATGGCTCGGCCATGCAGGCGTGGTCTCTGCTGAATGTTACCTTATATCTTCTATTCATATTAAATATATTGTTCTTTCTCTAGCCTAACCTTGTTCTACAGCATGTATTGGTAATTGATATGATACAGTGAGTTGGCGTAGTCGATGGTGTGACTTCCACGTAAGATCTTATAGATTAGGCAGTTATATCATGACGAGTCTAAAAATTTAGGATTAGGTCTATTATTAGAGCAGTACTAATATCATAGTAGACCATAGTTCTACAACCTGTCTACTTCGAGCGACAAATTAGGGAGTAAAAAGTATCTAATACAACCGCGAAATAGGAAAATAATGTAAACTAATCATAGAGTCTAATTTGGTGTGTACATGTTGAGAGCCTATAATGTCTGAGTAGGATGCATGTGTGTTCGTTCGTGCTAGGTCAGTGCAAGTGAGGGCTTGACCAAGAGTTCATCATCACTATCTACATTGATTCTTCATGTCGTGACAATGAGCGACATGACGTCTAGCACTTCTGAAGAACACATTTAGTTTGGAAGGACAGAAATATAGTTACGACAAAAAGCATGGCCGAGCAATGCCACTTCGATTATTTGTTCCCGTGTTCATCGACCCTCACCTCTCCGTGTTAAATGTTGAATGTGAGTCATCCCTGTTATCATATCTTCGGCTTCATAAATCGTGTGGTTAGGAATAAATAATTTTTTTTCAACGTATAGACGCCACGAAAAAATATTACCTACTAACTTATTAAACTGTCTTCAAAGTATACAAGACATATCAGAGAACGGCTATATTCATCCTTTAGCTAATCGGAGAGACCACATATTGGTGTTGAGTCTTATGGTCCAACTCATTATGTGTGATAAAGTACACAAATATTAACCGCCAACTTGCTTCCTCTTGATACCGGTAAGTGCAATATGCTGGTAGTACATTGTCCCTTCATTCTCTAAGAAACTGGAGTATCATACCTCCAACCGTTGAAAAAAACCCTGGGTATTATCCGAAACTGCTCTATTAGACACCTTTAAAACATTTGGATATCCTGATGATAAGCAGGTGTATGATCATACTTTGTCATGTACATAATCCCATAAGTTTCAACAAAATATTAATAATACCAGATGTCCTTTGGAAGGGAGCAAGATAGTAATAATTTGTTCTAGAATAATAACCTGTTACACGTTGCATACCAACCTGCAGCCAAGGTCAAAGTGTTAAAAACCCTTCAAGACTTACTGTAATAATTTATTCAGTAAGGTCGATACGCCACGAGACATACTAGTCATAGAAACAGGAATACATTTGTGTACATAAGAATATCAATAATCTTAGCAAAACATGGAAATTAAATACGAAGGCTGAAGCGCTTCATGGAATTGGAGTTACGACAAACAACTGGTAGTACAGAATCAATGTAAGTAAGGCCCATGGTTGTTTAGAGTGAGAAGTAAATCATAATCATTCAATTAAAAACATAAACTTAAATATATTATTTGACACTTCTTGGTAGTATTCTGTGGATGAAAAATTCGACAAGCAATTGTGAAGCCTTCCGTAATATCAACAGTATCAATTAATCTATGTGATGAAGTTAAATTTTCCATTTGTGTTTTTGATAGTATATCACAATGATGGGGTGATATTTACCACAACGCAACCATGTAAGTTTAATGTATCGCCCAGTGTAATAACGGTCATGTGTGCGTTCAAGTAATCGTAGAATTTGTCGTTTCATAATGTATTTTTTATTAAATAACTAGGGCTTAGTGATATTTCGCTGGCCCTACCGTGACGACAGTTCAAACAGCCAGAAACAAGTGGTTACATAATGAGCAAACGTTGATAGGAATAAAATGAATAGAAATCAGTTGATAACATCAGCGTATTGTTCACCAAGTCAAGGAAAAATTAATAACCATCTTATTTTGAGCGAAAATTCACCTTGAAGGATTGCAAGCTATCAACCTGATGTCCTGTATCAAAGAGATGTTTGGTTATTGTACTGTTTGAAGTCTTTCTTTTGATTTTACGAATATTAAACTGCTTACCAATGTCATGGTGACCCAAACGGAAGTCTCAATCAAAATATAATGATAGTTAAACACGAAGTCTTATATAGAAGAAAACTCAGTAATAACACCCGAAACAACAATATATATATATTGTGGAGGACAAAACTACAGCGTCGATAACCCTCGTAACTTTGTATCAATAGATAAGAACCAACCGACCTGAAAAATCAGAAACACAACAGCTCGGTAACCATGTGGTACTTGATAAAATAAAGAGACGAACAAAAAGTACGAATTTACAACACTTGGATGATCTCGAATCAGGTATATACAGTCGAAAGGTACTAAAATGTGGATAACTAAGTTTAATTTGCTTTGAATATGAACAGTTAACTACATTATGACAACGGTACGAAAACTCAATAATCCTACAAAATGTCACTCGTCAATTCACACAAAAAGATGAGTGATCAAAGTTTCCAACAGCAGAATTCTTCACAAACAAATGGGATAGACGATCTTTATTCCCTAGAGATAATCAGTGAATCAATCAGAAATTATCAAGAATATAGCTATTGCCGCTAGAACAAAAGTGTAATGCTTAATTAAGACAAGACATGACATGGTGAGCCAGAGAACAACGAAAGCATCATTTAAGTGACTAGTGAAACGTATTGGCCGCTGATACATTTGAATAATATTTACTGAATGCAGAAATAATTATGAAAATACCTCATAAACAGAGGGATTATAATACATTTTAGTGTGTTGACAAAACTACTCATACTGTAGGACACCACAATCTTTCGAAATCAAGATAGCTCTCTTAATAACAAGATACAGGTGTCAGGAAACAAACGATTATCTTATTCTGCTTGCAACTTTTGAATTTTGAAACGTATACAAAAGACCTTGGATTGCCACCATTTTCGGCGGGGCGTCTGGAATCTGGGTCCCAATGGTTCCCTCAGACTCGCATGATCTGGGCGGTAGGTTCTTATGGTCTAGATCTCTTTCTATGTCAGTAATTTTGGTTTGATAAGGATTTATTTCTGAGGGTTATTAGTGGCAATAAATAACAAAATTTTCAGTGTTAGTTGTGTCTGAATTACATTATTTCATATCCAACCAGTTTATGATGTAACCTGTTAGATGAGCGTAATAACTTGTATTCGTGAACATTAATTCACAAACTTTATAACAGGAAATGCATTTTGCAGTAGTGCAACTCGCTAAACCTAGTAGGTTTCTGTTTGATGAATTATGTGAGTCTGTAACGACCTTTAATCGATGCTAAGTTGATCTTAACAAAATTCACTTTACTAGAGTCAAAAGAGAGTTATAGTCTAGTATGAAGAACCAAGGCTGGGACTGAGAGTTCAAAGTCATAGTTAGGGGTTAGAGCTAGAGTTTTCATCACAAAGCGACATCATTGTTAATGCTGAAATGCTATTTGGCCATATGGATGAGTGAAATCCGCCCCAAGATTTGCTCTCTTCAATCTCATTTGTTCATCCATACATTTCAGTCTCGCCACAAATTCGGATAATGGTTTCCGGCAGCTCAGCTAGCCTAGTCGAACTCACACCCATTTTAGGTCACGTGAGATTTCTGTCTTTTAATTAAAGGGCGAGTGTAATGATCAACCAACTGACTGACCATCTTGGACCATTCAGTTCTGTTCTGTGTATCTGATTTCGAATTAATTGGTAAGCATTATGTCCTCCTGCCTTTTGCTTTGTTAGTTTTGTGTGTGGTTTATTTTTAAATAAAATAAATTTGTGTATGGTGAAGTAAAACAACTTGCATCAAAACATATTTGTCTCGGAATTCGCTTTAATGACTAATTGAGTAGTTTATTCATCGTACATATTGAGGAGCTACTTAACAACTGTAAGCTGTTTACACTTAACATAGCTTCCTAAAAAAATCCATGAGTAATAAGAAAAATCATAATGAGAAAGGTAGTGATCGACTGTAAGGGTGTGAAATATGTTCGTTCATAATAATGTATTTATGCTTCGTAATTGGATATTTCTGAATCAAGTTATTCATCTCTTGGATTGTCATAGTTTGCGCTGGAAATGATACTCCAAACTACTTAGACCACTAATTTAAAAGTTTAGTTTATAGGGCAATGGATTGACCTCATCAGGTGTGTCACACTGGCAACTAGTAATTCAAGTTTTTTTTATTAGCTACTAATCCTCGTAACCAGGGTTTCCTAGTCTTATCACACTCCGGCTGTTTTTGATGGCATTCTGGAAGCATTAGCGAACTCATGTGGTGATGTTACCTGGAGAAGGAATTATCTATCTCAAATAAGTAGGTAACCTTGTCCTACTGTGAGGTGATATATAGACTATCCAAACTTGATACACTCAGCCAGTATTTGGTGCTTTTAAGTTACTTCCTTAAATTTTTAGGAGCCCGTCTGAACCTTTTGTTTTTGGTGAGCCGCAATGTGCATAAATAACCGAAGAGTTATAGTCGGATAGTTTGAGTGCCGGTGATGCGTTGCAGACAAAACAAATCTACTTATAAAAAAGCCAAGGTGGTTTATGCCAATTTCTATTTTCTGCGCCTTCATGGTGCTAACTCAATATACAAATCATCGTAGTAGTCAGTTTTTTGTGGGTTATTGATTAAGGATATTCCGCAACTCGGTTTTTGCATCATTGTTTCCGAAGGGTTACTCTAACGAAATTCTTCGTAGAAGTGCGATAAAGTTAACTAAATAGTCCTGGCTCTTTTTTGACTGAGCTGAATCTGATAATCAGTATTATTTTTGTTTGTTCATCGGTTTTATGACCCTTCACAAAGTCATTACTTAAATGGTGTGGCATGTTTTTTGTGACCTATTGTACCAAAACTGTGTACTATAAATAAATAGGAATGAAGCTATTTAGGTTTCTGGATGGTGTGCATAAGTTGTTTATAATCAATTTGTCAACTGAAGAACCCTTCTGGGTCCGTTTTTTTATGAAAACCATCGTCACGTTAAGTCAGTGAGGCTATAATCACTCAACTATTGAAGTAGACTTCCGGAATAAATGAATTCCCATCACTTTGTTGTACCAGTGTAATAAAGAGCAGTAACCTGAACTAATCCATATTTGTTTCACAGATGTAAGATTGTAATATCGTGGCTGCATCTATTGTTTCTCGTCGAAATAACTGATGCATCATTTAAACGAATAAATTTGAAACTAAGGTTTATAATCCTTCTTCAACCCCACTGTATCTTATTACAAAGTGAAATGAAATTCAAAACATCCTTTTTCATAATCTATATGCTTATTAGGCGGTTACTTAGTAGTTAAAGCTTTTGGAGTTCAGTTACTAGATCCGAAGTTTAAACTTTTTCCCACCTACTTCGGTTTGGGAAACCGGGTAGTATCATTAGCCCTCACACTTAGATTGTAGCTTACACCCAAGTGCCTGGTGTGTTACCTTATTAATTTTTTAGTACAATAAGTCAATAGTAAATAATCAAATTTATTTCCCGTTTTTGGTCACGAAACAATTCAAGGCGTCATTTTAAATTAGATTGGAAAGTATGGTGGAACACGAGTTAATAAAAGCCTCTCCTACCTTTGGATGCCTATTTTTACTTTTTTTCTTACAAAATTCACTTGCATTGACGGAATAAATAATCCAAACTTTTTCATAGTACTCTAGTCTTACTGAGATATAGTTAGTAAGTAGACAGTCAGTGATTACATTTTAGTTTGCTTCGGCAAAAATCGGTACTGCTTATTGATGTGTAAATACTAACAAGATTAATGCTGTCTTTATAGATTTTTTACCCTAATTAATTCTGTTTACTGATACATTGAAAGTGTCAAGGAAATTCAGTCTTTTTCATAAAGTTCACTCAGTAATAATAATAAATAATGTTAAATATGTATTTGTCTCTGTGTTATGGATAGATTCCTGGATAGAAGTCACTCCACAAAGTTTGGGTTACAACCAAAATGGTTTTAGTTATTCAGGTATCCATGTTCTCAGTATTAATTCACAGACACTAGGTTCCCAGGAGCCTGGGGGTCTCCATACCATAGTTGAAGAAAGGTTACTAAGTCTCTTCCTCTCAGAAGCCCAAGAACATTCAGACAGAGCAAGCGATGGTTCTCTGCCTAGCCCATTATCACACGACGAACTTCACAGTGGTGATACATCTGAACAATCTCACTCTACGTATCAAAATATAAGTATGGCCAAATTCCCCACTGCGAGTTTTCCAACTGACTTTCCAGTTACAAGCTCTGGAGAATGGGCTAGTCGACCTGAAATTGGAGCGTAAGTCAATATATTCCGTAGTTTTAACGTTTTATCCCACCTTATAAAGCTAGGAAGGAATCAACTTCTTACATACTGTATACGTGATATTTGTCATTCATAAAATAATTAACCAATCTGTATTTTTGTAAGTAGAATTTGGCGTACCCAAAGACAGTTTGTGTTAAGTCAACCAAAACTTTTTTTAGTCTACACTGTGTCATCGCTGTCAAATCTATCTTGATAAACGGTTGTGTTTGCAGTCCATTGATGCATTTAGTACCATTTAATGTTGTATATGACCTACGACATTTTAGATTATTTTTCACTGTTTATCTTTGTGATTGTCACATTCTAGTCATCCAACCTTAAATGTAATTAAAATTTATGATCTAACGTTGTGTTGGAATCAAGTAGAGACTATGTTTCCATCAGCTCTGGATGCTATAGTTAATACATATTCTAGACGTGAATAAAATATGAAAGTGGTCAATCTATTATGTCGACCTATGGTCATTAAATTGTGATTTTTATTTATATACTAGTAACTACTAATGATTAACGCTTATGTGTGAACCCAATTAATCCTTAACTACAACACATTTTTCTGTGGTCGACGAACTATTATTTTTCTTCGGAGTGATATGTCAATAATACTTCTTGTAAATGTATGCACAAGTAATCGACCCATATGCATACATAAGCAATGCACACAAATATGCGTCATTGTTTCATCCTGTTGCTCATAAATATATAGGCCTAGGTTTACATGTGATTAAATTTGCTAGTGATACTCTTTAGATTGTTGTTATTCATTTTTAAAAAATAGATGAAAACACCCGAATTTCCGTCTCAGTCACGCTTTTAGTGCATACATTAAAGTGATTAAATTTATATCAAAAAGTGTATTATTGAAACGTGTTGTTTAATATCGATAGAAAAAGTGTCATTAAAATATAAGATACTCTTTTCAAGGTTGGCTTTCTCATTAACTTAGTTTTTAATGTCCTTTTGTTTGCTAATTAATAATCAAAAGTTCTTCTTTTCAGTTACTGAACTACCTCATTGTTCTTAGCACTTGATTCCGGATTGAGAAAAGAGAAATTCGAATCTTACTTAATTATCACTTTTAAACTCTAATCCTTATCCTTAACTGCTGCACATTAAGTACGCTTAACATCCAACTCCTTCGTTGTTAAGTTGCATGCTAATAATCGTGAATTGATTATCAATCACTGGTGTTTTCCGAATTTTCAAGGTACACTGCACTGGCATGTCAGACAAATGATTCTAAAGAAAGCGTATCCAGTCCTCCTAATTGCTCATCTCCAATTAACGGCTCGTGGTATCTACGCAACTCGGCTTTTATGAAATCGCGTTTCATTGGTTGGTTGCTTGATCATATTCCAAATATATTAAGCCATGCGACTACATTCCTGTTGGGAGCAATTACGTAAGTTTTAGATCATTTATTGAGTGGATATATTTGGTTCGTTGTGTTATTATACTTGTGGATCTGAACTAAATTCCATTCATCGTAAATGAGAAACCCGCTTCATGGTACACAGATACAAGTCGTGTTCAGATCTATAGCTTTGTTATCAGTCAGATTCACAAAGTGTAGTACTATCTTGGAATATCTCAAACTTCATCCGTAAGAACTATCTAAAAATAACACAGTTGATAGTTCCATTTATATAGTAATTAATTTAACATCCATAAAGTTATACTAAATCTAAACATAATAGTTATCTTTTATCTTGTGTTGAAACTACTTTGATGGGATGTCATAACTTAAGTGTAACTCTGTTGAATATGCATCAATTATCTGTAGTCATATATTTCCTCGGATCGGTTATATTTTTACTTAAAAGTAACTTTAAAAGGTGTTGTCGTTAATACAGTTATTTTGAAAAAATGGGCTGCAAACTTGGTGTAATATAAATTAATAAGATTGTAATGTGACAAATAGATTAACTTGTGTGCATGTACATCTACTTAAATTAGAATTTTGAAATGCGGAAATTTTATAGAACTCAAAGGCCAAATTGCAAAAATAGTAGTTTTTTTACCCAGTGATGCAGCGTTCTAAAATCTGTTTGTGTACTCCCTTTTTAGCGCATGAAGCTTTCGATTTCAGAGAACTTATCAATATTTACTTATTTTTTAGTAGAACAGTATAAAAAGAATAATTGCTGACGTTTGAATAATACTTATACATTTTTAAATGAAGCATGAAGGAAAGAGGTTAAATTCTGATACTATGCCTAAAATCTATATCTAACAATCTAGTCTTAATTGGTCGTAGAACAAGTAACCTACATACTAAGAGATATTTTCATGTCCGGAATTTATTCGTCAACAGCCTTCCTCATTTTTCGCACTGTAATCTTTGAGTCTACTTCAGTGTGTCGTTTTCGTGTTTTTAAATTTTTATCTGTATTTGTAAACATCTAGTAAGCAGTAAATAGAGCTCACGAATGTTTACAATAAAAAATTCTTTCGAGAAACGTTTATCTGTTTCTATTTGTTTGTAGAAAGTTTTTCTTTAATTGCCTTCTTAACAACTGTATGCAACATAATTCTTTAAAATTTGTACCTCAATATATTCCCCCAAATGCCCTGATATGGCCGAGAGTGGGGTGGGCCCTCCCTCCCTCTCGAAATGCTCTCACACGGCCACGCGTATACAGCCTCTGCCAGGCAAGTCCCACTCACTGCCTTCCCGTGGCGGGAGTGTTGTTTACGAAATTGAGAGGACGAAAAGCGAATGTCCGGCGTTTTAACCGAACTTCAAACCAATGGTGCACATGGGGTTCAGTATCCTGAAGGAACAGATGGCGTATGAACCAATCGTTGGTCACCGGCTACCATGGGACTGCATCTCCTCATGATGCTCCACTGCCTTGTCGGTCAGACCTTTAGGTCAAAGGCTCGGGTAGTGGCCCCCTAAGGTAACCACCTGCTTCGGTCTGGGCACCCGGGTAGTATCACAGCCTTCACACAAATCGGGTGATTTATGTGGCGCATATCTACTTGGTGCCTCCTTGTACCAATATCTATGTGTTAAAATAAATAAAATAATAGTAATCAAGATTTATCAATGTTTTGTTTATTTTTCTATTCATAGCATGCTTTTATTCATCCGAAAACGTGCAAGGTTCACAAAAGTACTAAACATACCTTTGGATTAAATCACACAGTGAATAATCACTTGATTTGACTAATCAAAAAATATTTTTTACAATAAAATTCATTCATCAGTTTGTACACTCACATTAAGTACTAAAGGTGAAATAGGTTTTCTGCTGGTTTCGTTTTGTTCTTTCTTTTAATTACCTTTTGTTTTACCATATATGTTTAACGTTGTGGTTGATTATTATTGGTGTTTTTGGCCTTTAATCATATTATAAATATATTTCTTTCGTTATTAACTCCAAACTTCATCGCACATATATTTGTATACACATTTGTGGTTTCTTTATTTTGCATACTAAATATTACCTTTAATTATCAGTAATATATTAGAAGTTGAGTATATATTAATTGTATTCATGAACGTAACTACTTTCACATTCTTTGTTTTTTGTCATTATCAATATTTTATATTTTCATTTATTTAAATGAACGTTTAATTTTCCTATTTGTGTCAGAGAAGTTTGAATATTTTTGCGCAATATTATTATTCTTATTATTGTTAATTTTTTCTAATATATGCAAACATACTTTCGTCATATTTTATCATCTTCACTTTTATTTCTTAGTGTTCTTTTAAAAGAGATAATTAATAATGGGATCATTTGCTTATTTGTTTAACTATTCTAAAGATTAATTAAATTATCTCTTCGTCAATATTTGTTTCTATGATGATTATCTTTTTTTTACAGAAAAGAATATTTTTACTGTTCCTTTTTGTCTTTATTTAAAAGTTCCTTCATACTGGTGGTTTACTCAATCTATTCCTACTTTATTAACTTTTAGGAGAGATTACATAACAATGCTTCCTTTTTTCATAATGATGATTATGTTTAATTAGTGGGCTGGTATATGTATGATTTTTACTGCGTATTGCCACCATCTTGATGGTAACTGTTCACCTAAGCTGGTATATCACGAAATATCAGTGACGACTGGAACTTGTACAATTAAATATCTATATATAGTTATTTCTTGCACTGTTTCTGAAACAAACATTCACCGTATTGATCGTTCTTTGTTTAAAACTGCGCCGACATGCAGATGTAAACAATCCAGTTGATAATGCATTGTTCTCAAATCGCCTGGTGTACACTTTCCTTGTTGTTTTTCTAATGAATAGTAATTAATATTTGTGATTTATCTGTGGTGTGTACGGAATTAATGTGTTTCTTTTGTCGATATGTACTGTCTTATAAATATTGGTTTGACTTGTATAAATTGCCAAACAGAAAACATCTTTAAGTGTAACTCAGGTTCTTTATCATTTGATGAACTAATTGATGTATGCTTATCTGATGCTTCCTAGTAACTAATATTAATCACGCTAGTATAGTCTAAAGATAAGTAACAAGTAATTTGTCACCAAGTGGTTCAGGGATGTTTTCGGAAAGTTCCATTTTACTGTGCAATCAAGTCCCTTTCATCTTTTTTTGTTGATCTCGTGCAAAATAAAAATGTTCTAATCATTATTGCATTTGATGTTTATTATCCATTCATGACAACATGATGATATATAGGCTTTAGTTAGAGCAGCGTAAAACATTCACCAAAGAATGTTGTACCAGTCTCAACACCTGGACTCCTTATTCATTCATGCATTTTAATCTTCACAGAAGTCGATTGCAAAAGTCAGTCAACTCATAGCATCTTCATGCAATCATCATAAAAGCTCGACTTAAAATACATTTCTCATCGACTTCTTGATATCAACTATAACATTATTCCTAATGGTTATCGCTAAATATATCTACTTGTTTATCGTCATTCAATTGACCGTAACGATACTTATTTTGTAGTTTTGATAAATATAATTGATATTCCAAACTATCGAGGTTAAAAGCTTGTGTTTACTACATTATACAGCAATTCATCAGTTACGTAGCAGAATATAATTCCTCAAATACTCATCACAAGATGGGTATATAATTAAGTCGTGAATAGTATCTCTTAAGTGATCTGAACCAAGTGTAACTTATTCGCGTCAGTTGTTCTAAATGTATGTTCTTCACGCGAGTTGAGATATTTTTAAGTTCGTCAGTAATTTCACTTCGGATAGAGGAATTCTCTGTTGTTGCTAAAACTCGATTTTAGTCCTTTATTTGTGTCAAGCCCGCACTTTCTGTAGATAGGAAGATTAAATTACATCGTGATTGCCTGTCTATACAAAGGTAAATAAGTCAAGGTAAGAAGGATAAAACTTGCGTATTTTAATGAATAGACAAACGGTAAAGAAGAATGAGAAATTAGGGCCATGGTGATGACTACAATTGTATGGACTCTCATCACACACTCTTGTCTAGATATAGCTAGTGCTTTATCAACGCAAAAATATAAGTATGCACTTCAATGGATTAGGTTTGTTATTGATGACGGAAATTTACACCTAATTTTGGGTAATTTTTGTTGGTCCATATAGGGGTATGGGTGCTTATAGACAAGTGAATAAATATCCCTCGAATAACTTAGCTCCAAAAAGAAACACATATATGAGTATTGGATTGATCAATGGAGGTCGTTTGTCCTTCGCTCGGGGAATTTGTGAGCTACTACTGTAGGATACTTGTAACAAGGTTGTATAGGATATAATTCCTAGTTTTCCATTTTTGCTGGGATTTACTAAAATATCACAGTAAGATGGTTGTTTTTCCAAGAGAGTCTAAACAAACGTGTTGTTATATACTCAACATCAATTAACATTTAAAAAAATATAAACGTTGATTTTTGTAGAAACGACTATCTAAATATTTTCCTCGAATTCAACACCGAAATTACTTGCTTTAAATTGACCATTTTTTCTTAAGTTTATGCTGCATGAACTTCGCTTTTGAAGTAACTAAAATACTATGGTGTTTTACAGATTATTATTTTGGTAAGAACTTATGCCTTCGATCAATAATTTGGGGGTTAAAGATTTAAAAGTGGATTTTTTTTCTATTTAATTGAAGTATAATTTAGGTTGCATATGTCAAATTACATTGTTTTTCTTATATAAATATAACGATCATATGAACGTTTTTATGTGCATGTAAGTATCCTCAATCTTATTTTTGGTATATACTTCTGTCTTAATTTATGAAAAGACTTGCTCAGGGGTTATTATTTTATGAGAATTTGTATTGTACGTGTGCATGATTATCAACGTATTATTGAAATACCTTGCCGTTGTAATCTTTGTCTTTCCAATGACTAATATTAATCATGCTAACATACCCTAAAGATTAGTAATAAGTAGTTATTTATCACTAGATGGTTTAGGGATGTTTTTGAAAAAGTTCTATTTTACTGTGTAATGAAGTTCATATTATAAATTTTACTTTTGAATTAGCTGTGTCATTTTGACTACAATTATAAATTCTCGACGTACTAAGTAGATATTAGTGTCTAAATTGTGCTCAAGATGATAATGGTTATTAGATGTACTTGAAATGTAATCAAAAAAGCCAGTCTACTGAAAACAATCGTGTATTCTTCAGAGAATTACCGGAGTTCGAAAGATAAGTGCTAAATAAACAATATCTCTGTTGTTCTTTCATCAATACGAAGTTCTTTATGGGTAAAACTTTATTTGTTGCCGTTAGAACAATTTGTTCTTATTGTATATCGAACAAGAACAAGGTTTGCAGAACAAAATGAAATTATCACATTTCATAGCTTCTCGTTAGCTGCAAATAGCCTAAAATTACAACTATTTATTTGATCATACACAAAGGTTTAATATACGTTAGTAAAGCTTACATAACTGTCCGAAATGAAAATAAATAATTATGATAAGAGTACTACACACAATACATGACTAGATATGGTTGAGGTTGGCGCGTATTTGTATGTTGAAAAGTGGTAATTTAGAGTAGAATATATAATGCTATAGTTACGAATAATCGTAAGAAAGATGTAAAAGGATTGCGTAAGCAAAATGAAATTAATAGGCGGTGACATGATTGGAAACAAAGTTAAATTAACATGCGAATATGATTGTGCTTATGTAAGAAATAAAAAATTGGAAGACAAAGAAAAGTTTTAGAATAAATTAAAAGATTATTTGATTAGCGGTCAGTCAAAATGTCAGGAAAAGGCTAATCACATTTTTCTTCTGTATACATAAGCCAAATTATGAATGTTAGTTATCGATTACCTTTTCTAAACGGAGTTAAACTTTTATTGGTTGTTTCCTAGGTATTTTATATGCATCACTTATATCTACTTTATTTCCACAATCCCAAAAAATATCTGAGACTATTGACTTTCGTATGTAGATTCTTAGGAACGTGTTTAGAAACCGTTCTCCCTATCCTTCCTATATACTTTCTACCTCGGGTACATGTAAATTCATAGGTGCAGCTGGAGATGATTTCGAAAAGGTATTGACCTTCCTTCAATAGTATAACGAACAATTGGTGTTATATAGTGAAACTAGTTGAGCCACAGTAAATCTTCTAATGAATGCTACCATGATCCTTCCATCGATTCTTCTTGAAATACCATCCTCCTTTAACAGAAGAAGGATAAAGACAGGTATCTTGAAAGGTTATTTATGATTTTCAAGGTGTTCTTTTCCATATTTTGCAATAAATTTATTCTAATGTTCATTTTGCACAAGATTGTTTTCCATAACAACCGATTTTTCATTTATTCTATTGTTTGATCATAAGTTGTAAAGTAAAGGAAGATTACGATGTCGCGGAAAAATTGTTTAGGGAATCAATTAAGTATGAATGACATTTTATTATTTAATACATACATTTATCGACTCATGTTTTATGAAGTCAAAATATAGAAAAGATTGGCAATATTTATATAACGGTCAAAATAAATTCTTTGTTTCTTAATTAAGACCTAATTACTCAGTGTATATTATTTTTACAGACATTTATTTTACTGTTGGAATTAGAAAGTAATATCAATGTACTGAAATACCTGGATGTTATTTAGAGGTTTGCCACATCCGTCGAATACAAAATTGAAAAATAGGAATCCACCATACATCAATAATCTGTTTTGAAGGAGTTTGTATTGTTTTGGTGATCTATTTAGGATTTTAAAGTTAATTAGGTTCGTCTGAAATACAAAAATACTGTCGTACTAAACCACAAACTGATTGTAATTAGCAAAAGATACAAAATATTGTATCTTAACTCAATGACTTTACAGTAACAGACTCTTTACTTCAAGATTTCGGAATTATTTGGAGTAGTAATGGAAAATATAGTCAACTAAGAAAGCACGAGTTAAAAGGAGAAAGGTTTCGAAAACATATTATACATGTTTCAGCTTATTTGATGTTCACTTAATCAAAGCTGCGATATTCTTAATAATGAAACCGATACTGAGGGATTATATCCTAGGTTATTCTAAGAAAGTGAGCGGTATATTGTATTTTATAAAAATCTTCAGAATATAAAATACAAATAATCTAGAATCAGAATATTCGTTGACCCAGTAAATAGACATTAAATTCAACACATGAGTATTAGTGACAAGACCTAGTCATAAAAATAATGTGCTCTTTTTTTATCACATTTTGATCATATGTTCATTTTACCTGTTTTAAACACATGAATATTTATTATAGCAAGTTGTATAAGTAAAAAACATTTTCAATTATATTCCCTTAAGCTTTACTTTCTTATAAATAGTTATATGGATTTGAAGGATAAATATGTTAATGCTTTTTTTAATATAAATGTCTAAAGGTTTTATACTGCTACCCTTTCAACATATGCATATCCTTTCTTGTTGTAAAGGTATTTTTCTGTGTCAAGAAATAGGCTCTTACAACCAAATCAATTAAATG